TCCAAATAGTACCAGCACCATAAATCATTCTTTTTCTTGTCTTAGAAAACACATTTCAGAAACAACAGAGCCACCTGAATTGCCTCATGTCATCAGCAGCAAGAAGAACAGAATAAATTGTTCCAAAGAAAACAAATTATGCTCATGATGAAATATCACATCTATCTGGGAAGGTGATATGTGTGTTTTACAACAGTGTGAAATCTGATTTGGAGCTCCTCCTGACATTTGTAAAGTAAAATTTCCAAATCTCACAGCAAATGACACTATCAGAGTCATCTTCATAGCTGCTGTAACATATGAACTTAAGTACTAGCCAAGGTGAACTGAATTTACTGTCTGAAAAGAGTAAGATTTAGGAAAATGCACCTTAGAAACAAAGATTCTACTACAGCAACAGGACCGCAAGAGCACAGGCATGTCTGTCATTTACCAGGACATGGCTGCCATTGCAAAGGCTGAGAACATTGGAAATGCCTGATTTTCAGCTACTTTCTTGAGACACACCATGACTTTGGGGTTTCACCAGGCATGCACAGAACATTTCACAAGGGACAGAAACACACCATGGTCCTTAAGTGCATTTTCCACAAAACAATCTCTGAAATCTGAACCCTCAGCTTTCAGGGTGGTCTGCAAAACAGCTTTAACAAATTGCTGGATGAGATACATGGATATTAAATAACCAGATACTAAAAATCATCCCTATCTGTTGTATGGCCAGTTGGGGTGTTCCACTCATTGGCTAATCTTGTGCTACCCATTTTCCATCAGACAATAATTTATACTACTTTCCCACAATCCCTAATTTACCAGCTGTTTCTTCTTTATACCTGCCTTTGCTGCTCATGTGTTCACTTGCTCTTCCTCACAGAGAATCTTTATCTTCTGACTTCTGTTGCATTTTACTGCTTCTGTTTCAGGTCTGGAGAGAGTCATTGTCCCAGGCAGCATCTCCATTTTCACACCCGAAATAAATACCATCACCTCTCTGAAAAATTCCCTCAAATGTGGGATAAGACCATAACAAACTTGGACACGTGAAGAAGAGGGGAAGGCAAAAACCTTGTACTGAGAATAATGAAGCAAAAAAAAAAAAAAAATCATGATCCTGCAGCAAACCGTCTTATTTTTGTTTCCCCTCTTACATACAAACCTGATTTCCCTCCTTGCTTGTCGTGCTGCCAGCAGCCAGCAGGCTGTGCTGAGGGATCACTTTTCTCCTTCAGGAACATGCAGAAGCTCTGTTTTCCCACAGGCAGTACAGACTGAAAGCACTTTGCCAAGAAGTGGAAAGGGGAAAGATACAGTTTGCCCATCAAACTAACAGAGCAGTTTGCCACTGTACACTGTACCCCATGTACTGATTGTACCAAGGCCTCTGACAGACAATTTGAAACAACCCCTAGTGACAACGAGGATATTTCTTGTGAACAGGAAGATAATACAGGAACTTTCTCACTGACAGCAGGCACTTTCTTCCAGCAATAAGAAAAAGCCACAATAATAGTAAGAATGATGACTGAGCCATTCCAAAATAAGCACTGATGAAATAGGGTCAGGTGCCAGGGATGGAGTCTTTTCCCTCTGTGTTGCCTGTGATCACGCTCATCCCAAGAACGCAGGAAGCAAGCCCAATAAAGCCCAACTGGTTTTTTCTAACCAGACAAAAGCCAAATGTTCAAATCATAATGAGCAACTCAATGATACCTTTATCAAACGTTGGAACAGCTTGTGTTTTGTACCGCCACAAGAGGGTGTAAAGCAAAAGCAAGAGCCAAACAAGAGGCAGCCCAAGCCAGTGAGGTGTTACAGCAGGCATAAGGGTAGACATATGGTGCCCCACTGCCTTTCCTGTCAGCATTCCCACAGCGAGCATGCCAGGAAGGATCCTGAAGAAAGATATCATTGGATGATTTTTTGTACAGTTTTGTTTTCAGGCCCAGAAACCAAATGTTCGGCCGTGCATTAGGCACTGAAAGCAGGAGCACAGGCTGAGATCACATGAAAATTGTTTCCTGAGGTTGTCTTCACAACTCTCTGTCTAGCAGGGAGAAAAAATAGAAATCATTGCTTGGTGGAAGTAAAGGTATAACTTTGTGGGAATCTGAGCCAAGCTAATGCTCTACTTCTGGAAGGAAAAAGTCCCCCTCTTCCCTCCCACTTACACAGTTCTCCCTCCTTCTGCTTCTGCCTGCAGAATCCAGCTGCATCCCTTCTGAGGGTTCTGTCAGGCACTGAACCTCTCCATAAGGCAACTTTAGTTATCATCCCTGTAGATGAGTATCCAGCTTGTTCCCTGCTGCCTGACTTGGCTGAGCAGACAGAGGTGCCAAATGATGAGCTGATTAGCCCAAGGCAAGCAGTGGGAGCATGTAGGAGGTTGGGGGAATAGAGGGGACAGAGACAGGGACATTCTTTTTTCATTCTTTTTTCATTCTTTTTTCATTCTTTTTTCATTCTTTTTTCATTCTTTTTTCATTCTTTTTTCATTCTTTTTTCATTCTTTTTTCATTCTTTTTTCCTTAGGACAAGCTCATTTCCTAGGAATCACACCTTCACCATACTGCTGGCTGGATGGCCTATCCAACCAGATATCCAACCTGAAACCCTTTCAACAAAAATACCTATCTGCTTTTAATTGAAACAGGCTGCTCTGTGAGCTTAAAAAAATCTAGTCATGTTCAATACCTGTCAGAAGAGATTAATCTTCCTAAAGGATGCCTACAATAACCAATTAAATAGAGTTAACTAATTTAAAAGCAGTTTAAGGGGGCATTCCTCAGTCAAACCATTCATTGACTCTTCCTGGTTCCAGATTATACAACTTAATAATAATATTAGTCCCACACGGAAATTGCTTGTATAAAGCACCAGCAAAAAATAATTTTATTTTATTTTATAGCAGCAAACTGAAAAATCTGCAGTGAAAATAAAAAGAAAAAAAAAAGGCTGAGCAAAATATTCTCTCATTTCAGTGTTTAATTGACAAGTGCAAACACAAGGCTCTCGTTCTGCAAGATGTGTGTATCATTCCATGAAAATCAATTCACACGTGTAGGCAACAAGCAATAAAAAGGCAGCGCTGAGTGCCAACATTGTGCTGTGAGCTTTAAACCAGTGAAGAAAAAAAAAAAAAAAGACTCAGTAGATCAAGTACTGAATTTGGATTCCATGTACTTTTGTGGTGCTGCAAGCCCTGCCGCTGCCTGATAGAAGTCCTTGCAAATATTCCACTGTGCATGGCTTTTCCTCTCTGCACAGAGCACAGCGGGATAGACACACCCATTCTTCCTTTGGGCCAGACCTCAGCCCTGAAAGCTCAGCACAAGGGCACTGTTATTTGTATGCACAAATGGCTTTTCACCAGGTGAGTTATTTTGCTAAACACTCGTAAGTAAGGTGACTCACATTAACCTCTGCTAGACCAGTGCTAATTTTTCTTCATGAGGGACTGAGAGGTGTGTTTTCACATCCTCTTTCTATTTTTAGTTGTGAAAAGGTAAAACTGCCATAAGCAACTTCAAGAGTCAGAATAATTTGGGCAGGTCCTAAGGACCTAGGACACAGGACCTAGGACACAGGACCTAGGACACAGGGAGTGGTTCCTAAGCTATGGTAGGATGACACAAACTATTTGCCCTACAGAATAGTATTCACCTACATCTTCAAAATGGACCTCATATGGATCAGATGGGGAACATAAGCTTCAGACACTGGTAGCTACAGTGCTTTCCCAGAGAAATGGATTTTCTCTGTTACAGGCTGAGTCATCTAAAGTCAGCCATTTCCAGATCATAGATCAAGGTTGTTGAGCTATCAGTGAACGTGCATATTTCATCTTGCAACACCTTATAAACCACTCCCTTTGGATTTTTATCAAGAGGAAATAAATTAGGAAAATATTCATTTTTCCAGAGCAGACAGGTCTTGGAACTTTTCTCATAGCAAATTTCAAAGAATGCAGTACTGCTTTCAACACCTTACAATTTTTTTTCAATGTTGAAATGCTTAGCTTTTGGCAAGCTCAGCTCCTACTACCCTATGCAGAGATATGAATTTCAGCATGATCTTAGCTCTGAGCTTCTTCTATTTTCTTTTTTTCACCTCAAATTTTGTTTCATTTTACAATGAAGGCCATTTTTAAAAAAAATCAATAATGTTGCAGCTTGAAGCAAACCAAAATGGGATGAATCTTTGAGCATCAAGGAAACACTCACTGACATCTTAAAATGTCTGCTGCTTTGAAATGTCCCACACAAAACAGGAAATTCCACTTTGGCTCTACTACTGTAAGAAAACCACTTTGGCTTCCTGTTAGAAGAAAGACGTGTCTCATATAAATGAAGTAAACTCGGGCCCTCTCTTGGTTACAGTTGGTTACAATTAGTTCCTTTTGTATGACTAAACAAGCAAAGGAGTAAAATAAAGCTCAAAGCCCAAAACCCAATCACACTACGTGGGGTTTCTCTCATAGAAGTGTGCTTACATGGGCTCCTTTGCTACTTGGAAAGTTTAAAAATACAGGTTTCCATATTAAATCTGTAATAGTCATGTAAGCTTACGGGCTTACACAATACATGTAACACACCCACAATTTTTCCAAGTTAGAAATAATTTTAAATTCTGAATTTCCACAGAGTTTTAAATAAAATACCATTTTTGTTCTTCCCCTCCCTCCTTGACTGTCCCAAACTTGCCTTTTCTCTCAATATGTTCAATATATTTTGGTTTCCTCCAAAATTCAAATTATTTGTAAAAAAAGAGAAACAGCACATTATTTATTCCTGTTTATTCCTTGTATCAGTTAGGGTATATTTAATTTATTCTTCAGTAGCTGTTACAGTGCTGTGTTTTGGATTCAGAATGAGAATGGTACTGATAACACACTGGTGTTTTGGTTTTTTGCTAAGCCACGTTTATCCTAAATAAAGGATATTTTTCTTTGTCTTGTTCTCTGCCAGTGAGGAAATACACACAAAACCAAACTGGCAGGGAGCATAGCTGGGACAGGTGACTCAAACTGACCAAAGGGATATTCCATACCACAGGAATATGGAATATCCAAAACCAGGGGGAGCTACCTGGAAGGGGGACCTGATCTGGGTTTAGGAAGTGGGGTCTGACAGGTCAGTGTGTGGTGAGCAAATGCATTGTACATCACTTGTCTGGGTTTCTTTCCTTTTTATTATCATTATCATTATCATTATCATTATCATTTACCATTGTTGCTGTATTTTACTTTATTTTAAATTATGAAACTGTTCTTGTCTCAGCATACAAGTTTTACTTCAATTCTGCTCCCCATCACACAGGGATGGGGAAGGAAAAGAGAGGGGGAGCAGCTGCATGGTGTTTCGTCTCCAGCTGCACTTAAAAACCATGACAAGGTGAAACCCTAGTACTGACTGAATCATCAGAGCTCCATGTAAAAATGATTCACAATCCCCACATGATCTCTTCCATCATAGGAAAGGAAATGTGATCCCACCTCATTTTGGTATCTCATGAGATGTACACCAGAAAAGAGTGATTTGATTTCCAGAAAAGCTGCAGAAACAGTTAAAATTAGATATTGTCACCAGAAATTCCAAAATCTCCATTGCTGGACTTGCTGCACCAACTGGCTTTACTGACATAGGAAAAATTGTGCATGTGCACATATCCACACACACATACTTTCTCCCAAAAAAGTATATAAAACATGTCCCTTGAGGCAGATGGTTAAAGACTTCTTGATATTCACACACTAGGGATGCACAGCTCCCTGTGCTATGAGTCAATAGTGCAGGTCTTCCAAACCCAGACCAAGAGATACCAGTTATTCCAAGCATCACTGAGCAGAGCGCAGATTTGTCCAAATTTCTCCTGTTGAGGTGGCTCCCCGCTGTAGCTGTCAGCTTGTGCGTAATTCTGTCTCTGATTATGGCTTTCACGCTGCTGGGCAGCCCCCTGTGATAAACCCAGGCAAAACTGTCACAGTAATTAGCAATGCCAGAAAATTAATCCTGTTTCACTGCAATTTTCACTTCGCATTTTCCACGCTTTCCATTATTTTGAGTCTAAATAGTAGCTGAGGAGAGTGGAGTTAGACTTCCTGCACAGGATTTGCATAAAACCCATACTTTTGTTTTCCTGAACAAAGAAATTTGTTAAAATTATAACTGGGATTGAAGTAACCCCATTAATGAATATTCTGTTCTTTTCTAAGCGGAAGTAGAGGCCAGTCTCAGCAGGTGTCCAAAACCTCAATAGTTCAACAATAAGTATCTATTGACCATCTGAAGGAGAGTAATTCAGAAGCAATTTTAGGCTATGTAATCTGTCAGAACCTATAGCAGAGTTTGGGTAGTCCAAGGCCATCTCTTTGTCCCTAGAATTGGGAAAGCTGTTTTGTGTATGCTTATACAAGTGTGTGAGTGTGAAAAGAGCCAGCACAGCATGTACAGGCCACATAGGCTTTTCTTTGTATACTGCAAATCTACTTCAGTAAATGGAGTTGGCTCAGACTTTGCCCAGAACTGAAAGGCACTGACTTGTCTGGCCCAGTTCAACAGGCCACTTAAGCATGTTCTTCTTTTCAACATCTAAGTGAAGATGCTTTTAAAGGAAAATGGTGTTTACATGCTTTGTTTCATGAGAAACTTGCATGTGTCATAGAAAATGTACATGCAATTTGACCTCAAATATTTATCAGTTACTTAGCACCAGGTAGTTAAAAATGAAATGGACCTAGCAGGTTAATCCCTACACTCCTAATTTTCAGGGTGTTCTCAGAAATTAATTGACAGCATTTCAATGGGAATGGTGGAAGAATTATGAAAAAAACCAAAAAAAAACCCAAAAAAAACCCCAAAACCAAAAACCCAAAAATAAGAATAAAAAAAGCAACCTAAAATTTGGCTCCATTTTTAAGATGCAATTACTCCAAATCAAATTGCACCAGGTATTAAGCTTGCTTAACTTCTAGTTATAATTAGTGAAGTGAGGAAATCACTGCTCATATGATGATTTCCTGAAAAGAATGGCTTTTTAACCAACCAGAGTTTTGTGTCTGATTCCCCATTTAGTCATTTTTCATCTATTTCCTTGCCTCTATTTTAAAATAAAAGCTGCTGGGTATTAAAAACACAACGTCAACAGTCAAACTAATTACTACACTGGTGGAAAAGATTTCATATGTTCCCACTAACACCATTATCTTTTGTTTTCTCAATCAAGCTATGATAAAACATAAAATGTATAAAGACAGATGAATATGGCTGCATCTCTACAGTGTATTTTGCTTTAAAAGATAAACTGCATTGAAAACTAATGACAAAGAATATCTTTATGAAATAGCAACAGAAGTGCAGATTGTCACAGTTCATGTAGTGGCATTAATTTGGGAATTGTGGACTAATTCTTGCTTTTCAAAATTGGGTTCTGAAAAGTCCCTTATACTGCAGAAGAGGGGAAGACAAAACCCCAAAACCTTGTACTGAGAGCAATGAAGCCAAAAAATCGTGATCCTGCAGCAAAACCTATTTTTTTTCCTGAAAGGGAAATCTTGAAACTTTCTAGAAAGCTTTTTTCAGGCCCTGAGTTGTACAGATTTTCTTCATCTAAAACTCAAAGCTAGAAAAGCAGAAGAGTCACAGCAGATGTCTCAGGGTAGCTTCAGCTGCAGAGCCATTACTGTGATCTACAATGGAACACAAAATAAAGAGGCATTTCAAGTCAACCTGTAAGCTCTCACAGCTGAGTGGTTTTGGTCCACATGTGCCTATTTATATTAGGAAATTCAGCATATATAAATATATAAATAAAACATCTATACAGTACATAGTCACATTCATATAAGCCATAAAATCACATATATTTACAAAAATATTTGCAGCTTTGTTTTACACTTCCAAGTCCACATTAGGAGTTTAGTTGTTTAGCTTCTGCCTTGTGAATGTGATCACCTTCCTTAAGTTGGACTCTGGGATGAACTTGTACCTTATATACTCCCATCTGTCAACAATAAGAAAGAAGAACATAATCTTCCAAGGAATTCTGCCAAGTCCATAAGTTGAAACTTGTCTCACTGAAGAGTAAATTACATGTCAGCAAAAACTGAAAGACCTCTTCTTCATGTAGAAAGACAGTACCTTCTTGGTCTGGACTGTATATAAATTTGAAACTCATAAAACATCAGGCAGAGCTCAAACTGTGTGCCTGGCAGCTGTCTACAGTATCAGCTCATGCATTATTACTCTTCCATTTGACCCAGTTTAAACTGGTAGAGTGGTGAAAGTAAATGGGTACAGAAATGAAAATGTATACATCGGGTTAACTTAGAGGGTAAAAAGGTAGACTACATCCTGTAGTTTAGCTTCATTTCAAGGTAAGTTGTATGCTTAAAACAATCCCAAGGATCTCATATTTATACAGGACGTATTACATAGTTCTGTGTCCTCCAGGAGCTGGACACTTATAATTTTCTTCTCCAAAAACTGAAAAACCATTCTTTGCTGCTTTGTTAAATACTCTTCTTACATATGCAGGCCACGTTCAGGCATGCTTTTTTTGGGGAACTTGGGCAAGTTTGGGAAACTTGCCCTTTTGACATTAAGTAAGTTCTGCAAGAGCATTTAAAACTTTGGAGAATGGGTTGTTTTCCTTTCGAAGCACATTTGCGAAAAACAAGCCTCAACATACAGCAGCTTAAATTGCTTGTTCATGAAGACCCGTGGAGAAAAACCTTGCCATGTGCCACTGATCAAATAGCACTTTCAGTGATTGGCTGTGGAGTCATCTCTTGCTCCTCACTATTCTCGGTGGACGTGTCCTGGACCTCCTGCTGCTGATAAATATCTTGGACCAGCATGATGTTTGTGCTCCTCCACTCTCTGTACTTCACTGCTGTCAACTTTGGGTCCTCTAGCAACTGGTTAATTGTGGCCAGGTCATGCTCCTTACACTAGGAAGAGAACAAGGGGTTATTTCCACAGAAAATGTTGAATGAATTGTCCCTAAGAAAAAGTCTGAGAGAAATAGAGTCATGTCACAAGGAGACATCCGATTACCCATCCTCCTGGCAGCTTGTTCCCATTTTTTGGGCATAGGTCATCAAAGCTATGTTTAACAGCAAAAAATATTCCTAGTTAAAGGTAAGTTATGATTTCATCTAGATTTTTTTTAATAGGCTTCTTAACAAAACTTGATGAGAGAATATGAAATTTACACATTATTATGCTGTCTCTCAACAAGACAGTACATGCATGAAGCTAGACACAACAACATTTATTTCTGTAATATTCTGTAATTATTTCAGTTCTAACTTTCTCAAAAAAACACTTATTCTATGTAATAAATGTCTCTTCTCTGGGAGCTGGACTGAACATAATTTTGGATATAATTTGTGCACTGGCAGTAGAGTGGCTACAGTACATGTGGCTGCCATCTACCACCAGCTACTGCTAATAAATCAAGTATCTACTTTTAGGCAAGAGCAGCTCAGACCATTTGTTGCAGGCACCCTGGTTCACTTGTAAGATGTGAGCAGTGACAGATGCAGGGATACTGAGTCTCTGTATGTCACAGAACTACAGAATGGTTGAGCTTTGCAGGGACATCTGGAAGTCTTTTGATACAAAACCCTTCCTCAGGCAGAGCCACCTACTGCAAACAGCCTAGAACTGTGTTCAGATGACTCTTGAATATCTCCAAGGACAGAGACTCAACAGCTTCCCTGGACAACCTGTGCTTGGTCACCTTCTGTATTTCAGTTTGAACCCATCACTTCTGGTCCTGGTCACTGAACACCACTGAAAATAGCCTGGCTCTGTGTTCATTACACCCTCCTTTCACACACTGATATTCTTTGATGTCCTCACATGTTGTGGCATAACAAACCACTTTGCTTTTCCAGCCCATATTGCCTATCCATGCAATGGACCACAGCATAGAGAAGCCGCAGTGAGCAGGGACAATTTCTTAAGGAAGCACCATGCTGCACTAACAAAACTTGACTACTTTTTCCAGGCTCCCTCCTTCCAGTCTGTGGGAAAGCGATAGAATAGTTGTAGCCATCTTCTCCTGCTGCCACCCATTCATCACACCCAAGGACACCCTGTGCTGGTGGCTGCCTTGAAAACACCCTGAAAGTACTCCCACACATTCCTTTCACCTTCTGATAGCAGCAATCAGCTGTTTATACACCCATATCCCACTTATACTCTAATGAAGCTTCAACTGCTCCCGTCTCTGTGATTCTTTATCTGCTTTTTAAACCCAAAAGCTTGTTCAACTGTATTTTACATACATCCTACCCTCAAGACACAGTGCCAGCCCTTTTAAGGAGACTTCTGGCATTGATGCAGGGATATGTGCAGTTAGCTTAAGAGAAGAAGAGAGGAGATAAGGAGATGGAAGGGAGAGGAGTATTTCTATTGGACAAACTTGGCAGCAAAAAGTCATGCCATGGAATTTCTCCTGTAGCACTAAAACTATTTCCTACATTCACTAAAACTGTGATGCACTTACACATAGCTTCCCTCTCTTCTAAAGTATTCAAAGCATGCTTTGTTAATGATAAATTGTGGCAGCAACATTAATCTGTTGTTAAATATGTGGAGTCAAAAGTCTAAAATTAAAATTGCATTGAGACTTGCATAAATCACTTCTCAAACTAATAGGGTTTTAATTAAAGTAGAGTACATATGGATCAGAAGCAAAAAACTCCTGATTTTTAAATTTTCAGTATATAAGTTCCAATTATCTTATGTCTTATACATTAAGAAAATTGACTTTAAAAGCTCATAATTCCACTGACATAAAGAATGTGGCACTTTCCTACTGCAGGGATTTGACTTTCAGACAGGCTAACTTAAATACTGCTGTGTACAGAACTGTGATTACGAAGAAGTGCCTGTGCTTTTTTATTTGTCTTGTCAATGCTCCAGTTTCTTAGTTTGAAGAAAGAAAAAAAATAAAAAAACACCAAAAAAAACTCCGAAGAGATGAACACTCCAAAACTAATTTTTCCATATTAATAAAAGAGTTAGACAAGCCTAAGTTAACTACAACTCTTATAATACTCCCATGCTAAATCAGTTCACTGTTACCATCAATGCATCACCTTGCTTGTGTCTGACATTAAGGCTTCCGTTCTAATACTTACCCCATAATAATGAAAGTGACTGTCTCACAAAACACAACTCCATTTTGCACTACCTGGTTCTTAGATTTATTAGTGAGGCTCCTGTCAGGGAAATCCTTGCAGAATGTTTCTGTACATAGTTTTCTATCTTATAAAACAGGCATACTTTTTAAACTAACTTTCTGCTGTGTGGGGGGCTCACTTTATTGATGATGCAAATGAGTACTTCTGTAGTCACTGCCACATCACTGAAAACTCTTTGGTACTAAGAAGAGACTTCACCAGGTCTCATATGGAGCCAAGAAGATTGCCTCTCTTCCCAATTCCCTTTACAATTGTACTTTTCAGGATTTTCAATACAGACTGAGGTACCAAACCCAAAACTCCCATTGCAACTAAAAATCAAACCAATGATTGTGCTGACAGGATAAGTTTTTAGAATCATAAAACTGCTAAGGTTGGAAAAGACCTCTAAGATCATCAAGTCCAACCATTTTGCATGCATTTCTCCAGCTTACAGTGCCTGAAGCCAAATGCATCCATTTGAAACAGGATACTCAATTCCTGCTTCTAATGCATATGAAAATAAACAAGTGAAGCCCCAAGTCTGCATTTATTCTTTCTCCTTCTTACAATATAAATGCTATGGTTAAGCTTTTTGTTTCCCTCAGTACCATTCAGAAGCAGGCTTTGAAATCCCATGACACTTCATGCTGGCAAGTAAACCACTTCATAAATTCCCATATTCCACACAGAGTTACCGGCTCTTTCATGGAACATCTCCTGAACCCCTGCACCCCTCCAGTTCGTGATATATTTCCAACATAAAAGCAGGATGCTTTTGTTATTAAAAATATTTTAGTTACAGGAGGTCTTTACAATAGCTTTGGCACATCCTGTACATTCTCTGATAATCACATAAGGAAAACTTTTTTTGGCTCAGGGTCATTTTCATGTCCTTTATCATCGATGTACTTTGACTGCTCTTCCTTTTTTAAGGCTCCCCTGTTTATTGCATTTAGCTGAGCTTGCAAGTTTTCCAGTTAACTAAGAGTTTTCTTTATTAAATTTTCCAAATGGGCTGGAACTTCTGCAAGAAGAGTCCCTCCTGAGCCATAGCCTCTGCTTCCAGTCCAAACTGAACAACATAATGCAGATCAGTATTCACAATGAAGCAGAAAAAAAAATAAATTAAAAAACTTAGCAAAATTCCTTGGGGTTTTCAGTAAATATGTAATTAGAGTTTGGCTGAAGTCTATACTGTTTCTTTTTCAGCCAAACTGCTTTTTTCTCTCTTTTCCCTTGGCAAGATCTGCAAACTCACCTTTAATGTGCTGTTCAGCATTCGAATTTTGTGGAGTTTCTCATTAATGGAGGGGTTTTTGCTGCGCTTGATAAATGACTTCCGAAGCTCCTTCTTGGTTGACAGTCGACGATCCCCAATGGGAGACAGGCTTGCTTGCTCCAATGACTTGTAAAGCCTCTCCATCTCATCATCATCATCATCACATTTTTCCTGGTCTGCAAAGAAAAGAATAGACTGGGTATGAGAGCATGAATGTGACAGCAGATAACAGAAAAGGTATGTTTAGCCATCAGGAAGACTCTCAACCAACTCAAAAAATAATGGTATTAGAGGTATTAAATGGTATTAAATGGTATTAAAACTAAGGACAGTTAGGGTAATTTCTAGGCTAATAATGCCTAAGAGAATGACGTACTTCCAAACTCACAATGTTGTTAAGAATCAGGTCATGATCCAAACAGATGTCAGCCTGTATCTCCATGCATAGAGTGCTGCTTTAATGCTCTGAATATATCACAGACCTCAAACAACTGCCAGTAGCTCTATGTTTGAATGAAACAACTCTGATCACATCTTCATCCATTCCCCCTTCCCTGCATGCTGCACACAGTGAATTATGCTTCTACCTCACAGGTATGCTTCTAACTCACAGCACAAATTCTCTTTGGTCTACTGATTCATCACCAGGTTTTTGGTAATCATTGAAAACAAAGTTTTAAAAAAAATGAGCAATTAAAAGAAACATAAAAAGATTTCAGGGGCCCCAGGAGAAGGTCCCTAGAAAACAGATTAAAGCAAGAACCCTTGGGGCATCCAGTGTCTTGCCCCTGAGTTTCACAGACTGCAGCAGAGAATTTGCTTGTAAGGAAGGCCTCACAACAAAGCCTTGATTATCTCCACCTTAATTATTCTGATGGCTCCCAAACTGCAGGACCATTTCCAAGGCAGAGAGTCCGTGAAAGGAAGAGTGAGTAAACAGCTGAGAATAGCATAAAATAAGATGAAAATTGAAGCAAAGGCATTTCTCAGAATAAAACAACTTAAAAATGAACAGACTGAAACTAAAAATGTGCTGGGCATATGTAGGGGTGTTTTAGCAGAAGGCCAATTTTAGCAACAGACTGCACAACTCACTTCTTGTCCATCAGTCCCCACGGCTTCAGTGAGCTCTAAAGGAAAGTCTTACAGCTATTGCTGTTTTCAGGGTGCTAATGAATCCCTCAAGATCCACTTTGGTTAACACTTAACCAAGTGTATTACTGGCAGTATTGGTGTTAGTCCTTCTCAACTGCAGTCCTTCCTATTCCCATTGAACTGGCTGGGCACTTTTTTCTCTTAAAGTAAACATTTACTTTTCTAAATCATCTGCAGTCAGCAAATATATTCTGAACAAAAGGAACAAGTCCTTCTGCTCACTCATGCTGCTGCAAAAAGACTTCTGCAATATGTCAGCATGCTAGCATGGAGGCTGCTTCTTATCTTTTCCATGTTTTATAAAGAACAGCATCCTCCTACATCTCTGTTCTTTCTAAATATTTAGGTTACGAAAAAGGTTTATGATATGCTGCAAATATTTGCCTTCACTGTGTTTCTGGCCTATTCTTCACTACTGTGGGATTATAAAAAGCCTACTGTAACTTAACAAAAAATAAATATAACTTCCAACACTGGTACATTGCTGGAGGAGGAAAAGAAGAACTGTTGTATATTTAACAAGCTGCAGGAAACAGAAAAAAAAATTGAAGTGTAAGGCATAATACACAGCAGTAGTATTTCCTGAAAGCTGTTGGCACATGCCATGAGGCTCATAATAACTAGTTTCCTGCCTGCTTTCTTGGGATAAAGCAGCTGCTTGATTCATTAGCCAGCTTCTGCACAGGACTGGCTCAACTATGCTGTAGACATCACCCCCCACAACTGTGCATAGCAATACTGTGAGAAATAAATTGATTTTTATCAGCTATCCAAAAAAGACGATGTATGAAGAAAAAGAAAAAAAAAGTTGCTTCAATCCTGTTCAGCAACTTTTAGATAAAGTCAACCCACAGGGCATTAAAGGTCCCTACTCCAGACACCTTTTGAGGCTAACTCATGACCTTCCTCAGTGCCCTAAAAGGGTTACAAAGCAGCAAGCCTGAGAAAACACCCTCAGTGAACACTCTCCTTCCAGGCTAAATATTCTGATAACTTCCATGCACTCGTGGGAAACTGTAAGGAGCACAGTAAGACTCAGCACAGAAAAGATGAAGCCAAAGTCAGAAAAACCCAGGAGAAGGCTCCCAGATGATGCACTTGCCCAGCAAAGTGTACTCAGCTCCTGCAGACTTTCAAGACTGCTACCAGAAAGTCCTTTCCTGTTTCTTATTCTTCCACCCTTCTCATCCTCCAAGAGATTAATCAGGGTCAGGTAATTTCAAAGGGAAAGGAACATGTCAGATTCTTCATATCAGGTGGATAAAGGAAGTTGTAATAAAGCAACTAAATGGAATTTTAGCAAGCTGCTGGAAAACAAGGGTGAGTGGAACTTACAGGTTGTGGAGTATGGGTTACAAAGCACTTTTGTCTCCATCTTTGATTTCAACTACAGATCAAAGAGTATCCTAATATTGTGTGTTTGTGTAGAACAGTGCTGCTGGTGACGAAGCATATGTCTGCCAACAAACCTCTATAAACTGAGGCCAGACTGTTATCTATCTGGAATTTTACCGTCAGTGTGCCCGAGTACCCCTGAGCCAAGGTCAGAAAGAAAAAGCCCACATTTTGCAGGCTTGAAGCTGTCACTGAATGCACTAGATTAATGCTGTAAATCTGAAAGGGGGAGAGGTATTGGAAGAACTGAAAAATTCTGATTTAGGAGAACTAAAACGCAATTCTGAGGCTTGATGCCATTTATCTGGAATTTCCTCTAAAAGGAGGTATCACAGACAGGAACAAACTCCCAGAGGGTCAACATGCCTATTCTTCACCTCCTCAATTTTCAGCTTCCACTCTGCTGTCAGTCAGCTTGCCACAAGCTGGAGACAGATATTAAGACTAAGATATTGAGTCTCCTCATCTTGGAGCATCAGTACAGAAACTTGTCTGAAATCTCAACTTTAACACTCTTTAGGCCTATGTAGGCGAAATTTTCTAGAACTTTCAAAAAGCAGCTGTGAAAAATAAAGTTGATTGTTTCCCAGTGGTAAAGATATAGGAATTGGAAATGTTTGGTAGAAGGAGCATTTTGCATGGAAAACCACCTCCAACAGAACGTGTCTGACTAAATTTATCTGAAATGTAAATATTTGTTCTCCCATTCTGTAACTGAGATCTCACAGACCCCCAGTTGTGTATTAATCCCAGGGAAAAAATACTCTGCTTCATCTCCTGTACTTGCTACTCTTACAAGCTCCTTGTGGCTTTGCCAGCACCTCTGTTTCTGATTCCGCTAACATTTTTGATGTCAGCAGTAGAGAACACATACACCCAAGGCTGGGAAGAGTAGAGGGAAAAAAGTCATAAATTATTTTTGCCCTTACCTACCTATCCACCCCCCTAGCCCTTCTCCATAGTGGTAGTATACTTTCCAATGGGAATATGAAGTCACCTCAGGGAAATCACATAATTATGGAATAGAAAATACAGAAAAAAAATTCAATTAGGTGAGTATAACTCAGGCAAACACCTCACTGGAAAATGCAGAACTAAGGGAGGAAAGACTGGAAGAAAATAATAGGAAAACTATGTTATCAGAAGGAATTAGATGCTGTTGTCTGACAGTATAGTGGACTCAGCAGTGAGGGGCAGAATTTTAATAAACTGACTGAACTGGAAACAACGTAAATAAGTATCTCTTTTTCAGAGGGTTCAGAAAACCATAACATCATAGTTTTCACTGTGATTTCTAAAGCTTTTTTGATGAGAAACAGAATAATTATTCAAGTTGTTTTTCTACACAGTTATTCTCACCACAGGCACATTTCTCAGCTAGTCTCAGCCATGATCTAACTATTTGCTATGACTTTTGCAGAGGGAACAAAGGGGCCAGAGCACACCAGAGGATCTGTTCTGCCTATTACTGGCACAGGCAGACTCCAGAGAGGAAGAGGATGTCAGTAGTGAGAACAGAAGGAGTTGAATGGATCCAGCTCCTATTTAACTCCTTCTCACTAAACCAACCCAGATAAAATCCAAGACATATTTGAAAAGCTGTCCAGGTTTGAAAATACCAGCACACTCAAGATCTTCCGCAGATACTGTGAGCTAAGGTAAAATAAACCAGAAGTGGTAAAATAAGAATGCCTTGCCAAGATGCACTAATTTCATATGATCATGAAACCCTCAGAAAATGCAAGGAAGAAGGATCTTACTGCTATAGTAGCAGACACCTAAATAAATAGAAACACACACTCCTATTTTCTTATATAACCTCTCAGTTCCTGTGGCTTCCTTTAGCTGTTACGGGTTTTGGTCATAGTGGTGGTGCGTCAGAGTCGTATACTTTTTCTTCCAGTGGTTGCCAGAAAAAATACAAAGGATGGAGTTTGGCTGGAGAGCATGTCTAGCCATCCTGGAGGGGACAAGGCCAGCTTCTGGATACAGTGCACTTAGTCAGACAGCTGTTTGTACTCTCAGCTGCTTCTTGTTTACCTCTCAGTTTCTTTGCATCACAGGCAGCTTAGAATCCTTTGTCACTGTGCATGTAGCAAGCTGCATCACCAAAGTCTTAGATAGACCCAAAAAGGAAATGGATGCATAATGTTGGTCTCCTTTCAAAAGAGAAAACTGATAAACTCCCCTTCTTTGTATCACTCTCTGGTATGTAACATCTCCCTGGTGACTGGTGCAGAGAATTAATGCTCACAATGTTCATAACACCACTGAGAATGGTTGGAAAGATTGTTAAAAATATCATGTTATGGCTCCTTGCACCAGATCCTCACAGTTTCTTAGCAGAGTTCATTAAATAATTTCTATTGAAAAAATAATCAATCATAATTTAGTTGAATCTGTAGCTTTTCTTATGAGGTACAAAATAAAATCCATTTATTTCTGAAAAGTGTTTCTTCCATTGTTTTACTCATCACTAAGGTTTCTTCACTGTTTCTGTACTTTTTCATTGTAAGCTCTTCCCACAAAACCACAGCTACTCTTTCTTCCTTCTAGGTACCAACTTTTCTTGGCTTGGTCTCCATTTCTAGACTTTGTCCAGCAAAAGTGTTCTTCAGTTCTAGATAATTTTTACCTCAACTCAAAGCTCTTATCAGCTACAACCAAAAATTCAACTTGTGGTTTTACTTTGAAAAATGTGGTCAGAAAAGAGTGTGGCAGGGTTGTTTTTTTTAATTCTTACCAGGAGAAAGAGAGAGCACAGACACATCTGTAGGTTCTGTGGGGGACTGGGACCAAAATCTGTCAAAGAACTTAACTGTTCTGATGACAGCAGGGCCATCTTTATACACAGGGAACATGTGCTTTCAGGACAAATGTTGACAAAAGACAGACTTGTCTCCTTCTGGATGCAGTCTCAAGACTCTGAAACATGTCAGATATGCACTATTCTGAAGCACTCTAAAGCAAATAATACTGACTGTACTGAGGTATGCCTTCTTGTTTTGCATCAGATAACAAGGGTGTTCTTACCAGTTTTTGCAAATCAGGAGAATTTGCAGCTAGATTTTACCCAACAACTTGAGTTCATCTCACAGTATTTGTGCACATGCTTACCAACTAGCTGGAGAGGGAAATTCTTGAGGGATAAGCCACAGAAACAGAATTGTATCCTTTTTGATGACTTTCATGAGGAGCTGAATTATTAGTTAATATTAATCCTACTTTTTCTACCTCATTATTAAATTGAAGTAGCTTAATCTCCTTGCAAAATATTTCCTTAATATTTTCAGTGACCACACAGCAGCACTCTCCACACCCAGCCCATAATATGCAAACTGATAAAGGAAAGACAAACCTGTCTTTCTGTATGGTGTATGTTTTACTTGTTCAGCAATGGGTTATGATGCAGACAAGAACTGGTGAGGTTGTACAGTTTCCATAGTGACTGTCACAGCACCACTGTGATCATTAGGATGGAAGTGCTCT